CTTCGGACTCCAGCTGAGTACCAGTACCAGGTTCCAACCTCTACCTCTCACTTCTCTCCTGACACTCCAGCCTCCCCTCTGGTGGCTTCCTGTTCTGCTTCAGCAGGTCAGGCTGCACACTCAGCTCTTTCCCACTTCAGCACCTCTGCACAAACTTCCTCCTGGCACAGTCCACTGGTGCACCTCCTACATGTCCAGCCAAAGTGGCAGAAGATAGTGAAGTATATCCTGGATTTGGACTAGACTGTCCAGTCCAAGTTCTGAGCTCCTATTACTAGCTGTCTAGTTTTGGGAAAGTCAGCCTCACCTGTAAAGTAGGGAAACAGTCTCCAACCCATGAGGTCATTTCGTGGACCAAGTTGGCAATGTATGTGAAAATACATAACTTTAAAATTCAGAAAAGTGTGAGTAACTGAGAATTGACCGGCTTTTTTTTTTGGGTGGTATTGGAGTTTGAACTCAGGGCCTCACACTTGGTAGGCAGATGCTTTACCATTTAAGCCACTCCACCAGTCCTTTTTTGTCTTGGGCATTTTTTTAATAGGTTCTCATTTTTTTCTTAAGCCTTAAACTTCTATCCTCCTGATCTCTGCCTCCAGAGTAGCTAGGATTATCAGGTGTGAGCCACCAGCACCCAGCCTTTTGTCCAGTTTTTAACTTTTATTCTGATACCATTTATCATCTTCTAACAAATGATAATTTTGTCTGTTGTTATTTGCTCTCTCCATGAGAATGTCTGTTCCATGAGGGTAAGGGTCTTTATCTGTTTCTTTGGTTTTATTAATTTATTTTTTTTTTGTGGTGCTAGGAATGACCTCACAGATACTAAACATGATATCTACCACTGAGCTATACCTCCAGCCCCAATTTTCATCTGCTTTATTCACTGCTGTATCTCTACAGTGTTTAGAAGAGTGGCACATAGTATTCAATTTTTTTTTCAGTTTTCATGCATGCTAGGTAAGTACTCTATCACTTGGGCCATGTTTCCCAGCTTTTTTTTTTTTTTTGAATCAAGATCTCATTAACTCTGGGGTCTGGTGGCTTACACCTGCAATCCTAGGAGGATCACGGTTCAAAGCCAGCCCAGGGAAATTAGTTTGTGAGATCCTATCTGGAAAAAAATCCATCACAAAAAAGGGCTGGTGGAGTGGCTCAAAGTGTAGGCCCTGAGTTCAAACCTCAGTACCAGGGGGAAAAAAAGTCTCACAACTTTGCCAGGGCTGACTTCAAACTCAAGATCCTCCTACCTCCACCTCCAGAGTAGCTGGGATTACAGGCATGAACCATCATGTGCAGCTACTAAATAGCTGTTGAATGAGTGAATTCGCTATTTATGCATAAGGCACTTCTGACAAGCCCCTAAACCTACCTTCTCTAAGAAACCTTCCTTCAAATACATATTACCTTCTTTATCACAACATCCCATATTTTACAAATGAAGAAACTGAGGGTAAAAGAAATGAAATAACTTATACAGAGTCACTCACCTGAAAAATGACAGGGTCAGATGCATTTGTTCCTCTAAGGAACACTGAGCACCTCTTATGTGCCAAGTACTGGATCTGGTGTGAGAGAAACAGATGACCAAGAGTTGGTCCCTCGTGTCCCTCACAGCACTTTTAGGAGGGGAGGTTACTGAAGAGGCCCAGGGTGCTATAAGCACACAGAAGAGCACCTTTGTCGAGATCATTGGTCTTTATGACAAGTACCCAAGCCATCCCTTGGATTCAACCACTATATTCTCATTTCAGTCATTAATACTCCATCTCCCAGACTTCTGAGATCCATTTGGAATTCATTGTCTAGTTTAGAGTTCTATGCTACTCTTTAACAATTTATACTTTTTTGGTTTTGCCCCTCCCTCTGTCTTGACCAATGGGAGATTCCCTTGAGAGCAAGCATGATATTGCTGTTACTCTGTGGCATGGGGTGCAGAGCTCTGCACACCCAGGAGGCCAAATCCAATGGCTTTGGTAGTCACTCTGACCATGTTAGATGAGGAAACTGAGGTTCAGAGAATTCAGTACCAGATGTATTATCCTGCATCCAATAAGAGGAAGGATTAGAACCTGGCCACCACTCTATCACAACTCCCCTGTACCCAGCAGGCTCAGCTCCTGTGGACATGGCTTTCTCCACTCTTCCTTCTTCTGGTGAGTTGTTCACTGACATGGGGAGAACAGACTTACTTTGCCAGGATACCAGATCCCAGATTTTTGTGGTTCCATTAAGGGCCTGAAAGGGGACCCATTTGGGGTCCAAAGTTAGGATGGAATATTCAGGATAAAGACCCCCCCTTTGAAGTGCAGAGGTCATGGTGGTGGTGGTGGTGATGGCAGAGACTCTTTGGAAAGAGCTCAGAGTGAAATTTGGGGTGAAAGCCCTCCTCCTTTCTCCTACTGTTTTTCCCCAGAGATAGGGAGGTTCCAACAGGAAGGGTTAAGTGTGGTTTTGCTTCCTCAGCCAGGAGGGGAAGCCAGGCCAGGCCAGGGTTGGGAGGGGACTCAGTGCCAGGGAGGGAGCTGAGACAGTAGGAACAGCATGAGCCCCATCCTCACGTTTCACTGGCTCACCCACCCCGTCTCTGCTTCTGGTTTGAGGAACAGAACGGGAGAAGCAGAACAAGACTTTTTTTGTTTTGTTTTGTCTGGGAAGCTGAGTGTTGGTGCCAAACCCTGGAGAAGAGAGCTGCAGGGAGAGGAAGCTATATCCTGGGTCTCACCTGGGTGCATCCTGGGTTCTCATCACAGTGCCTGGTCACCCTCATGGAAGTGAGCATCTAAGCATCCCCTTCCTGGATCTCCTCTCTGAACATCTGGAGTCTCTGCCTTCATTCTACTCCTGCCCCTGGTACACTTGGATGCGCAGCCCAGAAGCCAGAACTGAGGGCCTGTCCAGCCCTACTTCCCTGTGCACAAGAGAAACCCCAATATCCTGGAGCTGTAGGAGTTAGCAACATAATCAGATTGCCCAGGTTCCTCATCAGAGAATACGCTGTGGGCGGCACTGGGTCAAGGCTTACCCATGATGGGCCCTGGAACTTCAGCAAAGTCACCCAGAGCTGACTGCAAAGTAGACCTAGCCAGAGAGGAATGTGTTGCTTAGTGTAGTGCTGGCTACCCAGCCAGCAAAGCTGAGAGGTCTTTGCTATTTCTGGCCCCCACTACTCCCTTTCTAGTTGGAACCAAGATGAAGACTCTACATTGACTGTCCAGCCCCAGGCCCTGCTCCCCTTTTCAGGCCCTTCTTAGAACCACAAAAATCTAGGACCTGGTGTCTGGCAATGTGATGAATACACGCACAGCTCTGGTATCTGTTTTAAATTATCCATTAAAATAAGTACAGTGTTGGAGTTAGCTGGGTGGGGTAAGCAGTAGAAAGGGAGTGAAGGGGGAGGGAGCTAGGCAGCCTCTTTTTCCAACTGCTTGGGTTCAAAGAGGCAGCTCCTGGGACCTATTCTTGGTCTTCTCTAGGGGACTGAGGTTTGCTGCTTGGGTCTAAGATCAATGCTTGGTTTCAAAGGCAGATATCTGGGGAAGAACATAGGAATAAAAGGACCATAGACCCTTGACCCCTGCCCCCAAATTCAGGGCATAAAGGAACTTAAGTTCCAAAGCTTAACAGTCTCTCAAAGAACCCAGGCATTCCTTCCCCACTGCACTCCACTCCTGGCATACTGAGATGCATCTTTGAATGGGCAGCCCCCGTGTGTTGGGGGTGGGGGAATAGACGTGACTCACTATTACTACTGGGAGGGAAGGGGGAGCCAATGATGGAAGACGGTGAGTCACTCTGATGGGCACCAGCCTCAGCCCTCCCCTCACTTTCCTGGTTCCCTGCCCCTCCCTGCCACCCTCTCTTGCTTTTCACCCACTTCCCCTCTCCTCTGTCCTTTGCCCACCCATTCCTATGCCTTGGCTCTGCCCTCTACCCCTGAAGGCCTGAGCAGTGGGGGGTGGGGGGAGCAAGCTTGAGCTGAGAGCGCTGAGCAGACAGGAACCAAGACTAAGAAGCCAGAAGACGGGGGTGTTCAGATGAAGGTGGGGTTTGACGGTCCTTGCCCTCCTCACTTATTCCCTGCCCCTGTGGGTAGGTGACTGCCCCTTTAAGAGCAGTGGATCCGCCCCCCTGTAGAGGAGGACCTATTAGAGCAGAGGCCCGGGCGCCGGTGACTCAGAGTGTTCGCGGGAGCGCAGCATCTACCCCAGCCAACCCAGTTCCCGAGGTCCGACAGTGCCCGGCCCAGACCTCTAAGCCTGCCAGGAGCAAGCTGAGAGCTAGCTGCCCGGCACGCTCCGCCCCTCAGCAGTCTCTGTCCTTCCGTCTGAGCCCCGTGCCCTTCCCGGGACCCCCTGCCCCGCGGGCAGTGCTGCCACCCTGCCGTTCATGGAGACTCCGTCCCAGCGGCGCGCCACCCGTAGTGGGGCGCAGGCCGGCTCTACCCCACTGTCGCCCACCCGCATCACCCGGCTGCAGGAGAAGGAGGACCTGCAGGAGCTCAATGACAGGTTGGCGGTCTACATCGATCGTGTGCGCTCGCTGGAGACGGAGAACGCAGGGCTGCGCCTTCGCATCACCGAGTCTGAAGAGGTGGTCAGTCGCGAGGTGTCCGGTATCAAGGCGGCCTACGAGGCCGAGCTGGGGGATGCCCGCAAGACCCTCGACTCAGTGGCTAAGGAGCGCGCCCGCCTGCAGCTGGAGCTGAGCAAAGTGCGCGAGGAGTTTAAGGAGCTCAAAGCGCGGTGAGTGAGGCCAGGTGGCGGCCTGCCGGACGCGGAGTGCAGAGGGCGCACTGACCGGCGCCCCGGGCCGGCTCCAGGAAGGGAGCAGGAGGCCCCAGGCGGCCGATAACCTTGCCATATAGTCTCCTCCTTCCCGGGAACTGCCCCCAACGGGTGACTGGCACTGCCAAGGGGAAGTCAACGACAGAGAGGGGAGGGGTCTTTGGGAGATGGTGGGGGATATAAGGAATGGTGGGGGCATGGGGGCCAAGTAGGGGTAGCGACAGGAACGTATACTGTCAGGATGGGAATTTGACGGCCACTCGGAGCCTGGGGGAAGGACTTGAGCAAGGCAGAACTGGCCCTGCCAGGTCTTGGAACTCCAGGCACTCAGAACACATTGGAATGGGTGAGAGGGCCCTGTTAGAACTTTCTTGGCAGGCTTGGCACTGTGCCAACTTTACTCAGCCTGCCGATGAACACATGATACCCCTAAGACAGAGCTCCAAGCTGGCATCTGTCCAGTGGTCCTGGAGAGGGGTCAAGGCAGGTCAGCCTCCCTTCCCCCTTCAAGGAGCAAGGCAGTGGCTCCTTTGGTGTGACCTTTTCCTGGTTCTTTCTAAGAGTTGGGAAACTCTTTCTCACTCCCTGAATGTCTGGGACCTTTCTTGACTCTGTCAGGCCCACCAGGAGACCTCCAGGACATGGCAACCCTGCAGCTCCCACAGCCCTTGGCCTGCCTGGCCCAGGAATGCAAAGGAGGGAGGGAGACTGAGGGCAGAAACTCCAGGCTCAGGAAGTTGTGTTATGCCCTGGACTGGAGCACCTTCCCAGGCTTTCTTTCTGTTGTCTTGGAAGGTTGGGGGCTCTGTCCTTTCCTCCCTCCTTGGGGTGAGCCACTTTCATTTTCCCAGATAAGCCAAAGTTCATCGTCTTAGCTGCTGACATCTTGATCTTTGCCTTATTAAATTGCTGGAATACAGTGACATTTTTGAAATCCAGCCGTTGGAAGTTTCAGGCCACTCCCACTTCACCCATCCCTACCCCACCCTGCCCCACCCTACTTGACTCCACCTTCTTTTTTTCTTTTCCAGGGAGCCTGGAAGTTTAGTCCCTCTTCTTCCAGCCCCAATAATTTGGTTTCCTTTCTGCTCCCCTTTCCTCTCTATAGACCCAGGCCAAAAAGCACTGAAGGTGCTTGGAGAGCCCTAAGGGACTAGTGGCTTTAACCTCTTCTCTCCCTTTGAATTATCTTCAAACTCATGCTCTTCCTGGAACCACTCTATGTATCCATGGTTGGTCATTCTACCTTTTACTAGCCCCCAGCTCCAGGTGGCAGGATGGCTGATCCATCAGCCTCCTGAAGGGTGGATGGAAGTTGTGTGGGGAGATGGGTTCCACCTTTATTTCTGCAGAAAGGGATCACCTGCCTTTTTCCATTCATTACATGAGTTTAAGTTATTATGAAAGATAGGAGGCAAGCTAGGGGAGCCCCAATGAGTTATTATTCTAAACTAGTCCAATCAACTACCAAAGCCCCCTTTGCAATTCTCTGTGGAGGACATTAATAGCAGATCTGGGGAAAGCATTGATGGAGACAGGGCCAGGGGAGTCTATAGGCTCTTGCTCAGCCAGCCACACAAGTCTGTCTCCTGGATCTCCTGGTGCAGCTGTCCAGGCCTGGGACACAAGGCGGGTGTATGAGTACATGTGGGGTGGGGTGGGGGTGATGTGTGTACTTGTTATATTTAGCCACCTGCCTCTGTTCTCCCCCACTGATCCTAACTGAGGAGGCTGAGCTTCCGGAAAAGGAGGGTGGATTTGCACATCTGGATTCCAGGCTGGTGGGGTAGAGACAAATGTGACTGAGATTGGGGTGTCTGTCTCCTGTATGCACAGTAGGAGGAAACAGGATTACTTCTTTTTGTATCTACTGTGCTCAGGTTGATGTGGAGAAATGACTAGCATGAAGAGTTTGGGGGAGGAAGAAAGACATTGTTCCAACTCGTCCCACCAAAGTCTGGAATGGTTTAATGTTTAATTAGAGCTCAGAGTTCAGTGCAAGTCTTGGAATTGGGATACAAGGCTATCTGTGAGAGCTTGTGGCAATCCTTGGCCCAACCTAAGTACCTTGACCACACCCAGGGGTTTGGGGCCCCTTGTTCAGTTATAGGATCCAAGAAAAAAACCTTTCCCCCAACTCTCTCTTTCTCTCTCTCTCTCTCTCTCTGTCTCTCCCCCACCCCTTTTCCTGCCTCCCTCCCTTTCCCCTTCCCTTCCCTCCCTTCCCCTCCTCTCCTTCCCATTCCCTCTCCTCCTGTCTCTCTGACCTGGAACCCAAGAGATTTGGGCACCTCAGTGTGGGGAGAATGGGAAGGTTGCAAGCACCAGGGAAGGCCCACCTGGAGTTGGGGTCCAGGCTTGGAGCTGGGCCACCCCAGGCAAGACAACTGGGTGAATGACTCAGATGCTACCCCCCCTTCCTCCTACCCCAGTGGCTTTATAAGACATCAGGAGACAGGGCGGAGACCACAGATATCTTAAAGGGGAGGGATGGGAGCCTGAATATATCTTCTGTCCCCTCCCCACTGCATCCTGGGGTCCCTTTTCTCTGGTGAAACCTAGAATCAGGGCTAAGGAGAGGCACTATGCACAAGTAGTGAGAATGCCAAGTTAATTGTACAATTTTTTTTTTTTTTGGTAGGACTGAGGTTTGAGCTCAAGGCTTTGTGTTTGCAAAGCAGGTACTTACTCTACAGCTTGAGCCACACCTCTAGTCCATTTTGCTATGGTTATTTTGGAGCTTGGGTGAGGGTAGGGGGGGAGTCTCTCGAACTATTTGCCTGGGCTGACTTGGAACCATGATCCTGATTTCGGCCTCCCTGGTAGCTAGGATTACAGATGTGAGCAATCAGTGCCTGGCCTAAGTTGATCCTAGAGTTTTGACTTGGGCTACAGGATGGTGCCAGGGTCTGTGCCTTCCTGTGAGGAACTGTCAGAAGAAGGCTGAGTCAGAAATGGGGAGATCCTAGACCCACAAAGCAGAAGCACCTCTTCCCGTCATGAGGCCCTCAGGCTGGACAACTTCCTGAATTGCCCACTTTATGTGGCTGTCCTACATACAGGCGGGGGGATGCAGGCAGGGGTCATGGGAGCTCTGATAGGTCAAGAACAGCAAAGGCCACAGAGGTGCAGAGGCTTGTCCCATGTCATGGAAGGGGTGATAGGGCAGGACTTGAGCACAAGCCTTCTAGCTTCCAGTTGGGTACTTTTCCCATTAAACCTCACTTCTCTAGTTTGAGGGACAGCTTGGAGATCTGGGGTGAGGTGAGGAGGCATGGCTTAGCACCATTTCTGCAGCCTGGAGATTCTGCTCTGGGGCCTTAATGCTCTGCTTGTTAACATTGATCAATGGCCTTTGCTCCAGCCTGTACCTGGAAAGACCCAGGACCCTGCCAGGCCATAGATCATGAGACAGTCAGCTCTGGGAAGCTGGTAATTTGTCTTAAGATTATCATGGGACTTGTTATGAGATTTTGCTGTCATGGGAATTACCTGGATTTGAAGGAGGCTGTGCCCTTTGGCAGAGACATTAGGTTAATGGAGGTGGGGGGTCTCCCTTACCTGAGGGTGCCTCCTGGTGTTGCCGCTCCACCTCACTTGCCACTCCCCTGCCAGTTCACATTGTGATTGAAAAGAAAAGGAGATTCTGTTGGTGCTGGTGGCTCACACCTGTAATCCTAGCTACTCAGGAAGTAGAGATCACGATTCAAAGCCAGCCTGGGCAAATAGTTCGTGAGACCCTATCTTGAAAAAAAAAAAACCAATCACAAAAAAAGGGCTGGTGGAGTGGCTCGAGGTGTAGGCCCTGAGTTCAAACCCAAGCACTGCAGAAGGAAAGAAAAGAAGATGGCAGCCAAACCTGGGGGTGGGGGGCTGAGAAATGCTTAGGATGCTCAAGGGAAGCCAAAGAGTCAGTCCTTACTAGGGTCCCTAGTGCCTGTCCCTTGCCTCCAGGTGTCTGAGTCTTGCATGGGATGTGCACATTGCTCCCCCTCCTAGTCCTGCTTCCAGTGATTTAATAGCTCAGTGAGAGGGCTAAAGCCAGGGACAGCTGAGGAGACAACTGGTAGGAGATGCCTTTACCTACCAACTGTGCCCTCTCCTCTCCTCCCCCTCACTTCCCTCTTCCCCAGCCCCTTATCACCAGCAGCTGCAGCATGAAGACCAGTTGTCTCAGAGGCCCTAACACTAGGTAGAGTTCCTCTCATCCTCTCCTCTTTGGCCCCCAGTAATGTACAGAAGTTGACATGGTCTCAGATGTTTTTGGAGACATCTGTGGATGGAGCAGTATCTGCTATACCTTAGTAAGAGGTAAGGAGCCCACCAACAGAATGACAGCTAGCGTGAGGCAGTATCAACAGCCCTGGCCCTATGTTCCTAGTTCTAGGCTTGGCCCTGCCACTAAATTGCTGTATGATCTTCAGTTAATCACCTCCCCTCTCTGGATTTCCCTAGAAAGGGAGAACATGGACTACATAGCAAGACCCTGTCTCATAAATAAATAAAGGGAGTTAGAGCAGAAGCTCCCCAGAGATCCCTTAGGTTCCCAAGTAGTACAATGGCCTTCAGAGAGAGAAACAGCCTCTAAAATACCAAGGTATTAGTAGTAAAGTCAAATATAATCAATATAAATATAATTAATAGACAGTGCTATTCTCAATAGCAGTATTTCCCACAGGCAGTGGAATTAAAAACACTAGTCTCTATTTCTCAAAGACAGTTTCTTAGAAATGGTTAATTATTGTGACATTACCCTCTTGGCATATGCTTTGTTTTTGTTGCTGGTTGGGAAAGACGATTCATTTTCAGTGCTCCCCCTTCAGGGCAGTGGAAAGGGCTGTATCATGTAGCAGGACAGGGAGTGTCCAGTCATGTAGCAGGACAGGGAGAGAATGACGCCTAGCATCAACTGGCCTGCGTTGGGGGCTCGAAGGAAGGACCTAATGAAGGCTAGACTC